TAGATGGCAATTACTATTCAATATTAATAGAAGGTGTCAAACTAAAGTCCTAACCAAGGAACTTGCAATCCAGAGGGAATATAAATTCTTCCCTCAAAGTATGTCCTGTATTCTTCCACTATGCGTTGATGCATTTATACTTGTACAATTTAACATTTGCTTTTAACAAAATAAAAGATGACATTTGACTGCATAGGGAATTGTAACTGGAAACATAGCTAAACTATTCTAACATATGCCTAAACAGGTGGGTAATATTCAAGTCTTAAGCGCTTCTGCTTTCAGTAACACAGGTCTTTGAAAAAACCCTTTAAGCATGTCAGACCAGTTTTTATAAGCTCTTCTGTTTTATTTTTAGAGTAGCATTTGTTACCATGTATTTTTTCACAGGCAGATGTTTTTTTGGTCCAGAAAGACATTCTTCCCCTTACATTAATCCAGTCACTAAGGTGACTGGGGTATAAAACACTTATATGGACAGAACTCATCAGAGGGAAGGTTTGGTTCTCTCTTACGTATCCACCAGCCCGTGCCTAGCCTTTTACTGCATCATGGGGTTGTAGCAGTTCCTTACATTAGGAAAAATTCTGTCTTGGCCTTTCCCTCTGCATTAATTTGAATGTTCAAATTAGGCCAGAGCTTAAAATAATTCAATCTACTGTAGTTTTCAAAAAAAATATTTTCACTTTCCCAACTCTATTATTTTATTTACTCTTCAAAAATGCTGGAATCATATTAGAAAAAGATTTATCTGAATGACAAGCAGAAATCATTACCCAGGGAGATAAGCCTATAAAGCATTAAAATTTATCTTAACACAAAATGCAGGGCCTGGTTGTGGCGCACACTGCCTATTTGTCTAATGGACATGTAACAGAGAAGTGGTCCAAATGAGCTTAATAAATCTCTTTCTTAAACTCACAAAAGACCACATCCTCTCTTCCATAATTCTATTAGAGTCTGCTCCTTTGGAGGAGATAAAAGAAGAGATAACCTCTCCATTCAGAATATAAAATAGCAATTGTTCAGCTGATGGTTGGAATATTTCCAGTAGAAGGACTTAATTATAGAACAAAATTAGCTCAATCTGACCTTTTTAGAGAATAATGCAAAAATAATTTTTTTTGCAGATGTCTTCCTGGAATAACTAAAATAAGGAATAATTTACTTCACTTTTTTTGCAAGAGCAAAAGGTGGTAGCATATGATAGCAGCATTCTTGGTGAGACGACAATCCAAGGACAATAACAAGACAGCATTTGCAGAAAGGGATAATATATTTTAATAGACTAGCTGATACAGTTTAAAAAACAGACAAGCTTTCAGACACGCAAGCCCTTTTCAGCAAGAGCAGGTTCACCTCTGTGACTCAAAATTGCTAGCTTAATATCTAGATAGTGTAATGAACATGTCATAGAAATGCATGGAAATGTATGGTATCTATATTAATTACATTCTGAAAGCTCCTCTTGGGATAAAGACAAAACATATTTTTGCAATCTCTATTTTATCTAAGTGATAAATAGGAATAATTACTTGCACCCACAGACCTACAGACTGGGTATGATGCTGTGTGTTAAAGCATTTCTCTACAGGTGTTTAGTTAGATGAGTTTATCTGTATTGAGGCACTCCTCGCTAGAAAAAAAAACCCAAAACTCGAAAGAAAAACCTCATCTGTTTTATCAGTCCTATCTCTGATTTCATGACATTTTGAATGCTTCTAAGCCATGCTGATACTACTGCATGCAAGAAAAAAGGCATGAACAGGTGGCGATATTAACAGGCTTCTTATGGTTCTGAAAAATGAGATAGAAATGTTTCATGTCATGAAAGTCAACATCAATAATCATCCATCTTGTGTAGATATGGAAGTCAGCCAATGTGGTTCTTGCTGAGGAGGCGTGAGATATTTCTTTTGCATCGGAGCTGCCGCTCTGGACACAAGTCATAATTTGTCTAATATAGATAAATGAGGAGAATATTACTAATACTTCCTTTTTTTTCCCCTTTTTTTTTTTTTTTTAATAAACTGAAAGCTCCCCCTTCTGGCACATTTCCTGAACTGAATGCAAGGTTCCTGGTGTCTGCTTTTAGCAACAGAAGATATTTCCACTTTTGCTCTCTTTTTTAAGATCCTTTTCGCAAAGATTCTTTAAAACTACTGTATTTATAGTTTCCCAAGGATTTCCCATTTCCCCATCAAGCTTCTGGTCTTGATGTGAACTCATTTAACAGCAGGGGATTGCCCTAAAGCTTTACCTACAGTTTTCATCTGTTGCTTTTCCAGGCAAAGACTTACTTGCTTCCCACTTTGCTGCATATTGTACAGAGTATGGAAAACAACTTTTTCAGAAAGTTTGAGTGTTAGCATGCGTTTTCCTTCAGGGCGATCACTGTATCTCAGCTATAACCCTACCACCTATTTTCCTAGTAAGTGCCTTGAAATCACTTTGAGAAATCAACAGGATCTTTTTGAACCAAAGCTGCAGCTCTGCTGAGAGCAGATCCTGTCCAGGCTCAGGGAACCTGCAAGCCAGGGAAAGGGGAAAAAGCAAAGAGGGACTTGTTTAGGGCACAGTTTTGGTAACTGCTCTAACTGCTCTCATCTCATTGCTGCCTGTGTTTCAAGGACCCCCAGTGTCAATTGTTCCTCTAATCCCTTAAATCAGTGCAGTTACTTATGTGCTTAATATGATGAACAGATTTGTCACAGATTTTGTACAGTCATATACTTACACAGAGAAAGGGGAAGACTTTCCCAGCATGTGCAGCCACAGGCTCCTGTAGTTCCCATAAATTCCTACATTTTAATTTTCTTACAGTCACTGGTACCATCCCTCAACTCCAAGCAGGCTGACAAAGGCAGTGAGACTGGTTAGGAAGCTTTCATTAGATTTGCTATCATAGATTCGAAGACATCATCTCTCTGTGTCCTTAAAAACTATTTATGGGGGACAGCATTTTATTGGAGCGTGAAGTCAGGAATGAGTGCTTCTGTGCAGGAAGGATTATACTGGGGCCATCCTTTGACATAGGCATGCACACCAGCCCCTCTGGCTACACAGAAGAAAATGAAAGAGAGTGAAGCAGAGTAAAATAACATCATATTCATGTCAACTCAGTACTGAGTTGTTATAGTAAAATGAGAATGAATTGATTATATTTATGACTTCATTTCTGGGCTTTCCCTGAATATCAAGGTGGTATTTTCTTCTATGGTAGTGATGCTACTTTGCTTTTTTATGCAGTTAAGTAGTAATTGTGGCACACTTTAGTTGTAGAATAGTGGTTATTTTGAAGTCCAGTATCAGAGTAACAATTTACTACGGCTACAGTGAATAAAGTATGCCATTAGACTTGGTACATTAGGTCTGGAAGTGGGAGAATTGCTGGCCTGGCACCTTATGCCACTTTCCTGTTCCCTCTCCATGGTAACAAAAATCAGGACTGACCTACACAAACAAAGCTGCTCGCTCTAAACGGAGCATAGCTCAACTACGGAGGCAGCGAGACCAATTAGCGTTCAGTGCAGTTTACAGCAAAGAAGGTCTGTTAGTATAAATGTCTACACATACAACAGAATGCCAAATGTAAGCTTGCCATTTGAAGTGAAATCAGAATAATAATAAAGTAACAAATGACATGTTCATTATATACATGAATATAGGTACACGCATGCATCTATGTATTCTTGTTAAATCCTTACTTTATATATGTATACGCACACGTGTCTGTCTTGTTAGAAATGTCTCAAAAGCTGCTTTTATTGTCATAATGAAACAGTAGGACTCCTTTGAGAGCCATTTGACTGAAAAACTACTGTAAACTTCTTTTGAGTAGGCTGTCTGCACTCAAGAGAGTTAAATCAGTAGAACTTTGATGAGACTAGAAGACCCACTAATATCTAATTAATGTGGAAATAATTGTTGTAATGGTTGCATTTTTCTATAAAGCATGTACTGAAAAACAGTTACACTGTTGATTTAGTGAGCATTAAATCAGTTTGATATGCAAATGGTGGCACTGGGCTACTTCATAATGCTGGTATTATTTAAACATTTGTTCGTTAAGCTGAGAAAATTGGAAATGTCAACAAATGGGATCCAAAAGCAAAGCAATGTCTTTTATCAACAGAGACTTTCTTCGAAGTTTTTATTGTCCACCTTCTAGAGTCACTAGGTTCTAATGACAAGAGTAACAGCAATACTAAATACGAGGGTATTTCTGGGAATAAAGTATAAAACAGTCATTCCTGTACCTGACTTCTTCTGCCGGTTTTCTTCCAGTATGAATAAAAGGGAGCAATTCTTGTGCTCTCCGGATTACCGGAGAGCATCTTTTTGATGTTAAGGGGTCATGGAAACAGCTTAAATTGTCTTTATCCATTTAATGTAGATTCAATTAACTCAGGTTAATGACTATGGGATGGAGCTCAGGGAGTTGAGAGCTGCTCACATTGTTCAACCCGGCTTGTCCTGTGACATAAGCTGCATTTTTGGGGGGAGAAAAAAGGAAAAGATAGTGTGTTGCCAGGACATAACCAAACACAGTCTACAAAGAAGTGTAACCGTTACCTCTCAGGCATGTGCAAAGCTCATGGCTGCATCTAAGTACAGAAGTGCAATACACAGTTGACCAAATCACTTATGAAATAACTGCAGCATATCTGTTTGTTAAATGTTTACTCTTAAACTTAGTACAATCAACATGAAGTCTTTGGGAGTAATAGGTTGTGACCTGTTAAGACTTAGCCGAGTATTTTGCCTGGGATGTATCTTCATCTTCCCTACATTAATATATCATGGCCAAAAGGGTGAATACCAAATAATTTGTTTCAGGAAGAGTGCAAAATTGCAAATTGTTGTCCAGTGAATATGGAAAATTATGTAGTTCCATAATATTTAATGGCATGTACTTTTGACATCTTACTTAGAAGATTGCAAAAGGATTACTCAGAAGAGGACTTGCTAACCCTTTCTTTTTTCATTTCCATTCACAGGATTTTTGAGCACTGGGGACCAAGCAGCAAAAGGAAACTATGGCCTCCTTGATCTAATTCAAGCTTTGCGATGGACTAGTGAAAATATTGGGTTCTTTGGTGGTGACCCATTAAGAATAACTGTTTTTGGATCTGGTGCAGGCGGTTCATGTGTCAATCTGTTGACTTTATCCCATTATTCTGAAGGTAACCGTTGGAGCAATTCAACCAAAGGTATTATGCAGGTTGCAAATTTTGACAATTTTGGTGTCTGCATGCCACCGCCATTAGTACTATGTGATGCTCTGTATTTTTTCTTTGTTCCTATGAACTGTTGAGTTCAGCTCAATATTAAGCAAACTTTTTAAAGGCTGTACAAGCTGCCTTCTCCCTCAACTCTTCTGTGCATGTTTAAATTTTGGGTCACTTTCTTCTTTTTCCTATGGAGCTTTGTAGAAACACTTTATAGCAGACTTCTGAACAGCATTTTCTCGGTGCATCATTTTTGTCTCTTTTCTTTCCTACCTAAGGGTGTCCTTTTTGGAAAATCAGTCAGTCATGCTCACAGTAGATGAGGTCATCTATATTCAGACAGTCATAAAAGGCATGTTTAGTTTCTCGTGAGGAGTAGAATTTAAAGAAAACTAAAATGACACAGTTTCTCTTTTCAGGCGAACAGCTGAAAACTATTATTTTGTGTGAAGGAAACAAGTACCTAGTTCAGAAATCTTTTGTCTGAAACTGCATGAACTTCACTTGCTGTCATCTAATAAAAAAGTGGTTGAATGTTTTGCATGCATGATCCAAAATTGTCAAAGCATCCAAGTTGCAAATGGATTTTCTTCTATATGTTTTTTCCTATTCCATAACTAACACCTTTTCTCTCTAGTTGAGGCAGACAGCAGGAAATTAAAAACATGCTGTTTGAGGCACCCTATTTCTTTTTCCTATGATTTTTGCACCACAGCTCCACACAGTTTCTCTCATTTGTATGGCTATTGCTTATTGATCACATTACTTTTGTCTCATTGTTTTCACACAGTTCTATCTGTATTGTTTAGTTTTACCAGGGACATCACACTGTGCTCTGTGTGTACAATCCTCCACTAATTTATATTGCTGTATCTCCATGGGGCACTAACTGGCCAGTCATAAAAAAATAATTCAACTGACATTAAAAGAGCTGCATTTACCCAAACTCATGATGCAGAGCCCATTGAGGTCAATAGAAGTGACAGATACTTTAGATCAGGCCTTTACACTATTTTAAATGAGAGAAAAACATAGCTTTTACAAGAAAATTCTAGTGGAAAATAGACTGTGGTTTAAATTTTAGTCTATTTCCACAATTTGATTTTTAATGTAATCTTTTTTTTCCATAACTACCTGCAGTTAAATAGGACATATTTATAAACTGGCCTATAAGAACAAGATGTAAGCATTACCTCCGAGGGTCACACTGCACCATCTTTTTTCATCAGAACTCACAAAAATAACTTTTGTCATAGAGGATTTAGCTTAAGGTTCAATGAGGACACCTGGTTTATCGTCCCCTAAGTCTTACTTTATCTTAATCTTGGTCTTCCTGATGTAACATGACATTAATGTGAAATGCCACATTTACAATATCTGGACAGCCATGTGTTGCCTCTTATCAGCAAATTTTACCCTGTCATATTCTAACACATGGCCAGAATTCTGCCAGGAGCAGAAATTGTTTGGGGAAACTGATGCAGTAACTTGCCAACATAGCAGATCAAAGGATTCGGGAGGGGACTGGAGAGGGCTTACAGAAGTATACTTAAAATCCAATTGTGAAAGTAAAATTTTGAGGATTTCTTTTATAAGAAAGCAAAAACATGCTTTATTGAAATTCGGATTAAACAGAACAATGTGCCACACCCCCATGTATGTTGTTTCATTTGGGGATGGTTAGACCTGCCATTAAAAAAAAGTATTGAAATAAAAATTGGTCAGCTTCAAATAAGAAAACTTATTTCAAGTTTTCAAACATTTTCAAATATCTTAACATTTTCAAAAAATCTTTTGTTTCACATTATTAACCAGTCTCTTTCATAAGCTGTAAATTCGGATGCTCTCTTTGCTTCCTTCATTTCCCTTTGACAGGATCCCTTGGTAGTTGAGAGGACACATTCAGCCTATTTCAAGATGGTGCTGTTCATAGCTGCCCATCTGGAAGTGGGCAGAACAGCACCCATCTTTAGAAAGTGCTCTGAAAATGTAGATGAATATATGCAAATTATTTTTATTTACTTTAATGAGACTTTGGATAGGAGTCACAAAGTGATATGGTCCATTGAACATTTAAATCTTCTTTCCATCAGTCTGAAGCCCATAAGCTATAACAATCATACACATTATCAGATAAAAATGTAGTTCTCCATCCTGTGTGGTACCAATTTCTGCCAGGAATTGTGTGACAGAATGAAAATAATTTTTCATACTGTTGTTCATTTTTCACCAAATGGTTTGAGAGGAGGAATATTTCCGTAAGCATTCTTCAGCAGGAGGGATGATTAGTTCCATTTCCTGAGATAACTTCATGGCCAGAGGACTTGACCACTTTTACTTAGTCCAACATTTAATGTTTATGTAGCACTTAGCAAGCCATAGTGTTTATATCAGCATTTTCTCAATACATAGCTTACACTTTCTGTCCTTGTTCAGAGATATTTAATAAAGCAATAAAAATAGATTTACACAATATGCAAAAAAGAAACATTATGAAGTATCACGAAGTACATCTTTGTGAAATTCAGTTTTGTCATTTAGTTACATTTATTACAATGCCTGGATCCTCTGCCGTAATTCCACTGACTTTGAGCTGATTTATACTAGCTCAATATCTGACCTTGTAAACATGCAAATATCTTTTTACCTGCTTTATAGCTCAAGTTCTTTCTTATTTTTTACTCATAGCTTGAAAGGAAATAATATCCTGGATATGACTTCTCATAAATTTAAGGAGAGACTTGAGTTTACATATTTCAGTCCCTACACCTATCTGATTTTAAGACTTTTGGATTTGGACATAATACTGTCTAGAATGATTTTTAAATTGCTCAGAAGTTTGTAAAATGTTTCCTGGCAGCAACTGATTCCAACTAACTTCTGAGTGTACAGGCTCTGGTGCTGCAACAGAGGCTGTAAAGGCATGTCTCTGGCTTGATTTAGGGGCTATGTAAGTTTTTTATCAATAGAAATATGTTACGTATCAAAGTAAAAGCCATCTTTTGCATTATTGGAATAAAATTCTGAGGTAAGCTGAGCAACCTAACTTCAGTTCCTTTAGTGGGAGTACCCAGCTATTCATCAAGCACTGGACGAAAGATACACTCTTAGCAAAATTAAATGAGTGAGGCCAGATGTCACTTCCGGTCCCTAAGCAACTCTACCAAAGTCAGTGGAATTATTCCAGGTGCCTATCAGCATAAGTAAAACCAAATTTTGACCCATATATCTTAAATCAGCATAACTTACGTATGCTATAGACCATTTTGTATTACCCACAGTGAGCTACAGGAGGTAGGGTCCAGTATAAAATATTTTCCAGTAATTAGTGCAAAAGATGTGCTACTGAAATGAACTGGATGCACTTCCATGAAAATGCAAAAACACAGAAAGGACACAGTTACCTAAATATAGTCTAAGTTTCTGACATTAGAGATGAGCATTATTTTGCGCAAGGTTCAGACTCAAAATGTCTTTCAGAACGTGAACTTCTTTCCTCAAGGGAACGGGAAAAGGCAAAGCCCCAACACAAAGGGAGCACAAGAAGTATCAGAACAAGGGTGGACTTTTGATTGCATTAAAGTCAATAACCAAAAAATTTGATTGATTCATTGACTACAAGGGCGTGAGGCTTTCATCCATGATATGCTCAAAAATGCTTACAGAAGGGAGAGGAAAACATCAGTTTAAACATATTTTATTTTTTCTGTGTGTAGAATTCCTGGTCCAGAGTGCTAGTTAAATCAGCATAAATTCAAATTAATTGCACTGAGGTCTTTGGGATTTGCTACAAGTCTATATGCAGCACCAGATCATACTCTCTCTCCCCTAAATGAATACCTGAACTTATGTTTAAATCTCTGAATTACACAGCTAAATAGTGTAAAATATATAATTTCCCTTTTTATGTAAGTGTGATCACTATAAACCTTCATTAAAAAAACTCCTTACAAGAAAGGATCTTGACTCTCAGACACTTATAAATTTAATAGCTGCCTAGTACCTCCTCATCTATTACTCCAGAATATAAACTTTTGCTATGATATACAATTCAAAAGCACCACACCTCTCACACCAAGTTTAATCCTAAACAAAACACAGAAAAGCAGTATATTAGGTTTATTTGACACATAGTTGTATGTACGCATGCTGCTGATGGCTTGAACAATATTCAGAAATCCAATCCATTTCAGAGGCTCGTTGGCTTTTCCTCCAACCTATAAATTGCTTTAACTTTAGGAATTTCTTTCAAGCTAATAGTGTTATCCTACATAAGGTAATATCACTTCTTTTTCTTCCTGAGTTTCTTTTGAAAATCTGTTCCTTAGCTGGACTACACTGAGGTAGAATGATTTACTTCAATTTCTGCGCACATTGCATTTATTTTGTATACGTTACCTGTAGGTACAATGACAGATCTCACCATCTTGTGTATTTAAGTACTATTAAGATTCAAGTATCTCTTCTGTTAAAGTTTTCTATTGTTTCAAAGAACTCCTTTGAATCTTTCAAGTATGTAGCTGTTTCAAGGTCACTTCAGTAGTTTTTAAATATTTCTCCCCACAGGACTTTTTCAAAGAGCAATAGCTCAAAGCGGAACAGCTCTCTCCAGCTGGGCAGTTAGTTTTCAGCCTGCAAAATATGCCAGGATGTTGGCTACAAAAGTTGGTTGCAACATGTCAGACACTGTAGAATTGGTAGAATGTCTACAGAAGAAGCCTTATAGAGAACTTGTCGACCAGGACATTCAACCAGCAAGATACCATATAGCCTTTGGACCAGTAATTGATGGCGATGTGATACCAGATGATCCTCAGATATTGATGGAACAAGGAGAATTCCTCAATTATGACATCATGTTGGGAGTTAACCAAGGGGAAGGGTTAAAGTTTGTTGAAAATATTGTGGATAGCGAAGATGGCATATCAGCTAGTGATTTTGACTTTGCAGTTTCTAATTTTGTCGATAACTTATACGGATACCCTGAAGGCAAAGATATATTGAGGGAAACTATTAAGTTTATGTACACGGACTGGGCAGATCGACACAATCCTGAGACCAGAAGGAAAACACTGCTGGCTTTGTTTACTGATCACCAGTGGGTTGCACCAGCAGTGGCTACAGCAGATCTTCACTCAAATTTTGGATCGCCTACATATTTCTATGCCTTCTACCATCATTGCCAGACAGATCAGGTACCTGCGTGGGCAGATGCAGCCCATGGAGATGAGGTTCCTTACGTACTAGGAATCCCCATGATTGGTCCTACTGAATTATTTCCTTGTAATTTCTCCAAAAATGATGTCATGCTAAGTGCAGTGGTGATGACGTACTGGACAAACTTTGCAAAAACTGGGTGAGTACCAGATAATGAATAGTCTTGTATACAAACTCAGGATATAATGATGCAGTGCTTTCCCTTGGTTATCCCCCTTGGGAATGCCTCTGTATTTGTAGGATGAATAAGAGATTAAGGATTGGGTTGGATATTTATGTTTATTGGAATGTCCTTCAGCTCACTTATACATTCTAGCAAAAAGCGGGAAAAAATATCTTTGCGAATATTCTGCGTGAAGAAATTAAAAAAAAACTTTTTCCACAAAAATAATTAAGGGATCCCCAGAAAAGTGCAAAACTAAGCATTTAACATATGTGTATAGTTAAAAATGGTTACATTAGTAACTGCCTTTACCCCAGCACTGATAATATTTTCATCCCATGAGACAGAAAATTACATAAATATTGCATCAAATATAATACAGCTTATTTTAATAATGTATTTTGTTTTAAATTGACACTTCTGACCATAAAATATGTGACTTTAAACTTGAAAAGTTTTGTCATTTTCATTAATTCTTCTTTCACTGGTAATTCAAAACACTTTTCTACCTTTGGCCATTGGACTCTAAATCACTATGCGTTATAGTGAATTATGCCCTGCCATGGTCTTTCACCTCTGGAAGGCCACAGATACTGCGTATGAACCGAAATGCTGACCTTTATGAGCTTTATGTTACTAAAAAAGAAAAGCAAAGCTTAATGTCCTCTCACACTGGTCTCTCACAGACATTTGTCTGCATTACCACATTGTTGGCAATCTGTCCTCAGTGGCAAAAGATTTCAGTGTGAGATACCAGCATTTTGGGGAACTAGGGAAGTTGCTGAAGTCTATGTAAAAGAAGGGTTCATTTGCATAATGCTGTTTCTAATCAAGATTATTAAGGCCTCTAATTTTAGGAAATAGCATTCTGCTCTGTCCAAAGGCAGACTTAAACATTAAGTATAAAATCTTAATTATGTTAATTTTATAATTCTTTTTGAAATACTTTGTAACATTGGAGATTTTTTTTTTTTTAGTGACCCAAATCAACCAGTCCCACAAGATACAAAATTCATCCATACGAAACCAAATCGTTTTGAAGAAGTAGCATGGACCAGATATTCTCAGAAAGACCAACTGTATCTTCACATTGGCTTAAAACCACGAGTTAAAGAACATTATAGGGCCAATAAAGTGAACCTTTGGTTGGAACTGGTACCTCATCTGCACAATCTTAACGACATTTCACAGTATACCTCTACCACAACTAAAGTGCCATCAACTGATAATACTTTCAGACCAACAAGGAAAAATTCTGTTTCTGTTACTTCAGCCTTTCCTACAGCCAAACAAGATGATCCCAAACAACAACCAAGCCCGTTTTCAGTGGATCAAAGGGACTATTCAACAGAATTGAGTGTTACTATTGCAGTTGGTGCATCTTTGCTGTTCCTGAACATTTTGGCCTTTGCAGCATTGTACTACAAAAAAGACAAGCGGAGACATGATGTTCATAGGAGATGTAGCCCACAGCGTACTACTACCAATGATCTTACCCATGCACAAGAAGAGGAGATAATGTCCCTCCAAATGAAGCACACTGACTTGGATCATGAATGTGAGTCCATCCATCCACATGAGGTGGTTCTTAGGACCGCCTGTCCCCCAGACTACACGCTAGCTATGAGAAGGTCTCCTGATGATATTCCCTTAATGACACCCAACACCATCACAATGATCCCCAACACTATACCAGGGATTCAACCCCTACACACATTCAACACATTTACCGGAGGACAGAACAATACTCTGCCCCATCCTCATCCCCACCCCCATTCACACTCAACAACCAGGGTATAGCCAGACAAGACGAAACAAACTTTATTTTTTGATGGATTACAGTAGGTGATATTACTGAAGATTACTTGGCTTTCAACCTACAAGACTCTTACTATTTAAATATGGAGGAATATTATGTGAATATACATATCAAGAACTTTTGGGGTTTTGAAAAAAATGAATTGTACATATATCAAATGAACTTAAGAAACAAACAAACAAAACAAACAAAAGAAAAAACAAAAAAACCAACTGTTTGCAATTGCTTGAAGCAGTTGTCCTGAATGATACTTTTTCATTCACATTCAAGTATTAATTTTTTGAAGATTTAAGTTACATAATGGAATTAGGCATGTGCAACACAAACAGGAAAGAACTATGACTGAAAATTTTAAAAACCTATAAATATGCACAAGGGACACACTAATGGAATGTCAGATAATTTTCACCAATTTTTATTTGGACCTGTTTTCTTGTGTAGACCATATTTACATATTTGAGTAAGTACACAAAGCACCAATGCTGTTAAGGCCTTAGAAAGGGGCTCATGCTGAAATCTGCCAGTCAGTTTTACAGCCTGGCAGGTACAACATTATCACATAAGTGCTGTCAGTATAAAAGTTGTGGGAATAAAGGAAACTGGATATTTTTAGCACGATGTGCATGATAATTTATATGCTTGGTGGCTGTGCTGCTGATTAAGCCGTAATTAAAATTCTTCTCATCCCATTGGAGTTTTTAATAGAAGCTTTCTCCATCAATTGGCACAACCTAAAGAAGTTTTTTAAAGGGGCAAAGGTAATTACAGCAAAACATTTCATGGTAGCTTCAGAAATAGAAGGGATTGCAACAGTTCTTAAAGGTATTTATGGCATTCTAGGTATACAGTGGTGAACCCTCACTGATACGAAACCCAGACAAAAAATCTGTATTATTAATGTTTTTTTTTCCCTTCCACCTAAATAATTTCTAACTTTAACATAACTATAACTTTAATGGAATCTCCTTTGATGAAGGATTTATAATTTGCTGTGATTTAGTTACAGTATGTTTAGTTCAAATTGGTAAGGTAAAGTGTGTCCAAAAATTTAATTGCAATGATATTTTGCAATATAAAAATGCCCCAGTATTACCACTCTGATTACACCTTTCAGTTTATTGTTTAAACTCATGTTGCATGTTACAAAGCTTACTTATGATACTTTAATATAAAGTTAATTCCCTTTTTGCTAGACATTAGCTTTGCCATTCAAATGAATTCTCTAGACCAGATGGCAACAGTGTAGAAAAAGAGAGTATGTAAGAACGGGGAGAGAGCCAACAACTGGAAATTTTAAAATCTGAATACTACATATGTTTGTGTGATTTGAAATGAATGTTCTAAAATCACAAGAAATTTTTCATTCCCCTGTTGCTTTCCAGTAATTATATACCACAGTCCTTTCAAAATGTTTGTATATGTAATCAGATGTACATTTATATAAAAGTAATAATTGAGATGGACTTAAGAGCACATCCCTGATAAATACTTTATCTCTTACCTGTACTATATTTCTATTAGACTGAAGTTATGTGATTTTTTTTTACATTTTTTCAAATTACTAGCAATTTTGATAGTTTGTAAGATAATGCGAAGAACTTTCTCTGACAAACTAACTGCAGTAACAGAAACATTTCTTTTCAGTTACTCTTTTTCAAGAATGAAAGCTTATTACACACAAAAATTGTATACTACTTGATGGAAAATTACTTTGTACTTCTTGGCCATATTACTGGTCACTGAGTGAAATAAAGATAATCTGGATAACGAATATTATTCCAATGCTAAGAGACCTGATCTTTGCTCATTAAAGAGCTAAAATGTTTATTGCTGTTTTGTCATTTTTTAATGAAGTAATGGTAACTGTCTCAAATAAAGAGTAATATCTTAAGACCAGTCTGGTTTTTGAAGACATGAACATGCCTTCTACACCAATACAACTGCATATTTATGGGCCAGTCCCACCTACAACCATTTCTTACAGAAATACTGACATTGTAACTGTATGATGTCATAGTATTACATGCAAATCTCCCCTAGTTTTCAGGAAGTTAAAAATGCAAATATCGACACCAAAAAAAAGCCAAGGAACAGGCCTAATTGAAATAAATCTGCAGTATTCCATGACAGGAAAAAAATCACCTGGGTTTTATTTGGCTGATTGAACTTTCATAAACAATTGCTAGGAAGTTCAAAGCATGTTTGCTAACATCAAGCACAAATGTTAAAACTGAAGCTGAAAGCGAAATAAAGTACTGCAATTTCAGTCATTTTATTTAGCTATTAAGAAAAAAAATCTATATATTTAATTAGTGCGTGTTACAGTCCCCAGTTTTAAATTAAGCTCTTTTGGTAGAAGCATAAAAAATAGTCTTCAAAATCCAGGGTGGTCTGTGTGCAATTTCTGCCTGATGTGGTTGTGCTTTTAGACTGTGACCTGCCAATGTAAACCAATAAAAAGAATTGTCTGCCATCTGATAATTATTGTTTAATAGGAAGATTGTATTTTGCTATGTTGATGAAACAAAACAAAAAAATACAAAAATATTGATGGCCATAAAACAAGATATTCATGAAATATGATTTTATGTGCTTTTCTTAACTTTATCAAAACCAAAATAACTTTCTACTATAGTTTATTTGTGGCCATATATCTATATATCTCTATATATACAGTATCTGGTAATTGTTTACTTTTATTAGTTACAAAATAAATGATTTAGGTAAACCAAGCATGACACTACACTTCATTTCTGTCAGCCAACAGTATTTAAAATGTGAAAGATGAAGGCAACAACACAAATTTTATCACTCCAGTTCGAAGAAAAAAGTCCATTCCTGTGATGCAGATACTGTGAATGATATTTAGTGGCTACTTTATAATTACATTACAGCAGCTGGCTTTCCAAAAGTAAGATGGTGTCCCACATTTTAACACAACATTAAGAAAGACCTAGAGCTGTTTTAAAGCTGAAACAAAATAAAAATATAGGAAATGGTTTCGGAATATCTTCATTATGCTCCATGGAATATAAGTTTGTTCTTTTTAAAATATTTATCTGTTTGATTTGTTTTCCACGGTAGCCTACAAGAAAGCAAAATTGAGTGTGTATCATCCTTGGACCAGATTTCCAATAAAATTAGGATATCGGCCAGTGTTTGGAAGTTCAGTAAAAATATAAAAAGCCTGCATTTATTGCTTTCACACTTTTGTAAATATGTTTGCAGACCTTTTTAAGAAAATGTATTCTACCATTTTGAGAAAAAAATAACAATGGAATCATTGTCTCGTTTATCTATTAAAATTACAGGCAATATAATGTGCTGTGCTGACATTTCTAGGAGAAATAAAGCAGATAAAGGAAATTCAGTAAAAATATAAAAAGCCTGCATTTATTGCTTTCACACTTTTGTAAATATGTTTGCAGACCTTTTTAAGAAAATGTATTCTACCATTTTGAGAAAAAAATAACAATGGAATCATTGTCTCGTTTATCTATTAAAATTACAGGCAATATAATGTGCTGTGCTGACATTTCTAGGAGAAATAAAGCAGATAAAAACGCACTTTGCTGAATGGTATCTCAGTTTATTATATGTAGTATTCTCCACCACTGAAGCCTCGCAGGGCATGGATGAACTACCTGGATATCATATTCCTTAGGAAAATGTAGTTGTTTTCGTTGTCTGTACATGGATTCCTATGTCACAAGACTAGTTATTGGATATTTTGGTTATTTAAACACCCTGAAAACCGGATGAATAGAGGTCTAACAAATAAACATGTTACAGCTTTAAAGACACCACTGCACAGAAAATTCTGGAATTCCTGTTGCCAACTTCACTAAGAGATGAAACAGCTGAATTCATAGGAAGCTGTCAAACATCATGGCATTTCTTTGATGTTTGTAAGTTGTTGGGTTTTTCCTGTGGTGTTAGTTCAAAATATTGGCCTTTCCCCCCCCCTCCTTTTTTCTAGTAATGAACTGCTACAGATGACTGCTTTTTAATGTAAGCAAACATTAGATAATTTAATTATTATTGTGAAAATGTGCTCCCAAATAAATTAGATTAATGGGAAATACCCTGCAGAGGTTTTGTTATTTTTCACTCAAAGCACTTGTCAAAATATCTGTTGCAGCAGTTCTGCTTTTTTTTCAGTCTGTAAGCTAAGGGGCTTTCTCCAAATAACATTAAAAATCTCTTTTTCTATTTGAAGTAACAACACTATAAGATTAAGATGTCCTTCTGAGGCCTCCAAATAAATATGAACAATTTGAAACGTGGCAAACAGGCTTTTACTCTAAACATTCTAATTTGATTTAATTCTGGCACATCAATACATTTGTATGCAGACTAGAAATTAGCAGCATTTGATAAGGCGATCAAGAGAACTACGCAGCAGAATCAATGAGTTAACCACCAGCCATGCGCAAAGTCCCTTTTCTCTTATGTTCTGTTAATGCTGTTAATAATTGATGTCTCATTTACAGATTCAGTAAAAACTTAACTTTGTGAAATGGGAAATGGTTAGAACAAGGTAATGAACTTTATCTGGTGGAGAATGTTTAGAAAAAATGTTGAGAATCACCCAGGAAGTGCAGATTTTTATGTGCAACCTGGCTTCATTCCTTTTGGTTGATATTATAATCCTCAGTAACTCATACACATGGGAAACTGTCATTTCTGTAATAAGCTTTAGTTTCTAAAAGGAATTTAAGTATTGTATGTAAATTGTGGATTAAAGCATCTTCTGGGTTTAGTTTCCCTTTCTATTGGGATGAATGAAAAACCTCAGAAGTGCAACAAATTTGTACAAGTAATTTTCATATAGTATCTTGAAATGTTTTTTTTTTAACTGAAGATAAAAGTACCATCACAGCACTAAAAGCCGTGTAAGTATTTGTTTGTCACAGAAAATGCCTTCTTGTATATATATATATATATATATATGTGCATCTTTCTCTCCACGTGCATACCCACATGCACTACTCCAGCCAATAGAGGAGATTTCAAAAAACATGAATAAACAGGGAATTTTACCTTTTTGCACCATGCAGAGTCAATTCAAAGGTAAATGCAAGTGCTCAGTTTGGAGGTAACACCGATACCTCATTCTGCATTCTCCACTGTTATGGACCAGATGCTCAGCTGATGACATTTTTTTTAGCACCAGCTGAATTAGTATTTATCATAGGACCACTGAAATCAATGAAGCCCTGACAATTTACACCAGCTATCGATCTGCTTTCGGACCTTTAATGTTCATCATGGCTCATCTCACCGTCCAGTTTTGCATATCTTCTCACGCACATGAACACTCACTCACAGAAATTATTACAAGTATAACTACCTGATCTATGAACACTATCAGGCACTAAAATATGCTTTAAAATATGCTTATAGTTATTTGCATGCAAGTCCAAAATTCAGAAGAAAAGAGCTTTCTACATAAAAAAAAAAATCCCTGGTAATTACGCTGATGCAAAGAAAAGATTTGTATCACAAACCATCCGACTGAGCCACACGCTTGCTGTATATTCAGGACAGAAATAGCTGGGTTTTCTCGGTCATCTGAATTTTCCCCTCTCAGTGTCAGCAACGCCAGGCACTCAGCATTTACGAGCTTAGCTTTAGAATTATGCCATTTTAAAAAACAATAAATGTGGAGTTCTTAAGTCTATAGGGTTGGGCAGTTAGTAGTCAGGTTTTCTGCTTTGCAGCTTTAAGAGCCAGTAACTTTTTCAAACGGAAGTTGGTTATACTGGCAAGCAGAGGTGGCGATACTAGAGCTCAATTACAAAAGGTTCATGAATGACTGTGTGAACTGATAACACTTTAACTGCATCATTTTTAAAAAAAAAAAAAAGACAAATTTTGCATGTAGTGATTTTGTTCAGTTGCTGTGGAAGTTAATGAGAATTTCGCTGTTGACTTCACTGAAAGAAGGATCAGTTCAGAAATCTGCATGAACTCCTGTGAGGTCCATATAAAAGTTAAACAGCTATGACTGTGGCTTCTAAGAGCCTTTGGATATTTCCAGACCTCCCTGAGTTATTTATCCATCCGTATTTCTACAAAGAATGTATATGTTCAGGTATTCACGCTTAGTGGCCGAATACAGATAGGTTCTTCCCAAGAAGACACATCACCGTGATACTGCAAAATCAGCTAATATACCTTATTTTTCAGCAGGTCTTGTGAGCTTGGTCTCAGTAGTGGGTCAGTGTGGCCACACGGCTCTGGCCTGGAGCGTGATTGTATCTCATGGGCATGAAGGACAGACAAAGAAAACTTGTGACTGCAAAGCAGTCATGGGCCAGACGCAGTACAATATCCTTGATATAAATTTTCCCTGGCATAAAATGAGGGGTGGGGCAGAACCTTCTGACAGGAGGCAGTTTGGGAGAGCGAGATGTACAATGTACCTATTTCATCCATTAATTTGTAGAAACAACTTTGGCAGTAATTTACAGCAATTAAGACTATATGAAAGGTTCTAAAAATAATGCATGGTTCGTTTGTCACCAAATACATTTTCAGAAGAAGTCATGCAATACTTTACCGATTGATGATAAAGATATGGTTGTACAGTGTTGTTTTTCTACTTTTCACAAGGTTACTCCTATGTAGTGGTGAAATTTGGCTAAGCAGATGAATAATTTTCGCTCTCATTTGCATATGGGTAAGTCTAGAGCAATTTAATGAAAATGGAAATGTGGACCTTTACTAAAAAAGGTAAGTAACATCCAAAACCAGTTACTCTTGGCCAGCTAGTAGAGATTCCCATGTTAAACCACATGATGATTTCTTCTTTAACGTTCA